TTCCATTTGGTGTCCAATTAAGAGCTCTCTTGTCTCCTGTTATTAAAGCCAACAAGCTATTGAGCGTAAAATTAAAGTGGAACAGTTCAGCTCTTTTTTGACATTGTAACACTGGCTGAAAAATAGGGATGTAAGTCAAACATCATCCTTTAAAGCCCCTGGACAAATGGAAAGTGAAAACATTGGAGGGGAAAAAAGAGTAAACATCTAAAATGTGAGCATTTACTAATGACATAACATGTAATGTTAAGAGCATACTACTATTCTCTTGCAAATACATCAACCAGTTTGTTGAACACAAGATATTACATTGATTTTAACAGAAAGCTACAAGATTATTATTGCTCAAGCTCCAATGAAGGGGATAATTAAAGCATTAAGCATTTTTAAGCTCTGAAGATGACTTTAAGCAATAACCAGAACATACTATAGGAAATCAATATACTTTAATTGAATGGAAATTTAATTTTTTTAAAGTCGTTGTATCCCTTCTAAATTTTCTCTGGATTGTCAGACCCTGGAAGACAGTGAATCTACTTTTGCCATCAGCAGTATGACTTTCTGGAAATATCCTGTGCTGCAGGTGCCAGTCTATTATTATTTCCTTAGAAAGAACTCAACTGAATAATAATATTGGGAGACTTTGTGTGCATTTTCTTTATTAGTCTTTGGCTTCTTTGTTTAAAACAGTAAAAGACAGAAAGAAAAACAAAAACACAACCAGACAAAAATAACCTTCTTCACATAGCCAGGGAAGCCAAGTTAATGAAATTTCAAACAGTGGAACCAGGAAAGTTGTTAGATAAGCCTCACACTTGAACCTAAGTGAAATTCTAGTTTTTATCAAACGCCAAGCCTGTCAATCTTGCTATGCTGCAAGGAATACGACCCATTGTAGATACAAACTCTATTTGGATCTATGTGAACTCATTTTTATTGCCTATCATTGGAGGAAGAGTTATTACAATCAGAACAGCTTGAAGTGAACCTCTGGGAGGTAAATGGATATGAACAGAAATTAAAGAATCTTAAAACTTGAGAAATCTTTCAAAAAGGTGTGGATAATTAATGTTTCCTCATGTGTCACTGATGTTTACTTCATCTTTGGCCATTGGTATACATTTTGAGAAACACTGTCAGGCCTTCGAGTAAATAAAGAATGTGCCATGTTTATATTTACGAATTTGATCACACAAAGTAGAGATTTCCAGAAATATTTTTCAGAATATCTTGTCCACTTCATTTTCTACTACTCTCCTTATTTTATTAAATGCCTCTTCATAAAATATATCCCAGTAGAAAGAGCAGACAGAACCTCTTGATACCTAGCTGCCCCTTCTGTGAAATAGTAATGATACCTTTCTCATAGGGTGGTTCTGAGAAGTAAATTAGTATCAGCAAAGCTCTAGGCACTGTGTATATGTCACAATAAATTTTATAAAAATAATGATGATAATGATTTTGCTTTTTAAATTGTATTACCAAAGTTTGAATTCATTAGCTATTATATTGAGCCAGCCATTTAACAGTTCTGAGTTTGTTTTCTTGACAATAAAATAAGAATAATACCTTCTTTGCCTACCTTAAATAGATCATGTTGACAAAAATAATTTTTAAATTATTACGATATACAACAGCACCACAATTAAAACCACTGAGTCTGAACTTTAAGAAGCACTAGTTTAAATCCATTTTTCTCTCTTAGCAGATATGTGACATTAGTTGAGTACTTAGTTTCAATGCTTATAATATAACTAGATGCCCCTTGCAAGAAGATTCCTGCAATAGGGCTTCCTGCTGGGTCACTGCCCTGCCTGTTTCCCTTCCTTCTCCCCCAACCTGCTTGCTTGCTTCTCCGCAGCACTGGGCTTCTTTCTACACCTCTTCAGTCTTCACTCTGGCCTGGACATGCAAATCAACCACCATCTTGGTTGGATTAATTTGCATACTCGCCCTGATTGGCTGGTGGGCGGAGCTTGTGGCACAGCGAAAGTGAGGTCAATTTACATGTTTTTCTTATTAGGTAGGATAATGATAACGGTACCTTCTCATAAACTTTTTTGAGGCTTAAATTAAGTCTTGTATGAAGAGTTTAGCACCATGGCTGGCATATAGAAAGTATTGAATATTACAAAAACTGTAAAAATAATTGTTCTATATAGAAAATAAGTATTTACTTCCTTTTTGTTTTACCCATTGTTGATATCTGATGAGTAGATATATTTTATTTCTAGTTTTCCAGAGAATTTGTATCTTAAACTTTCTATTCCTCAAAATTTAGTCTCTGAAAATCCTAGTTTTTGCTGTCCACAGCTAACATTCTGCTAACATTAAGTATTAGAGTTATCATTAGCAATTGCTCAACCAGAAAGAGTCGTGAAAATGTTGGATCATTTGGAACACTTTTCTAGGATTAAACAGAGAAAACAGTTCTCCAAAGGTCCAAAGAGATGGGTGTGGTTGGTCAAGACATGACCGCTGGAAGAATCAATGGGAATAAAATAAAAAAGAGAGGGAAGAAACATCACCTATGGTACAAATAATGTTTAAAGTCATTGGTTAGACCTGAAGACAAGATATATCCACCTACTTTACCTACTTCAATCATGTTTTTATTATTGTTGGTTCAAACCCCCCAATTCTAGAGTATTTTAGAATTTTTAAACCATTGGCTATATTTAGTTATGTTGAAGGGAGGATAGAATTAATAAGCTTAAAATTATACATTTTAAGATGTTTGTCCAGAGCATTGCTAAAACTGCTCAGCAAGTTTTATTTATTCCAGTGGTAAATATTCTGATAGTACACCAGAATACTGTGGTCAAGTTTGGCTCTAATATGTGTCATTTATTTGGGCAAACTGACAATAAATTTACAGAACTTTAAAGAAAAAAAACCTCAAAGGGATAAAAAAAATGGATTTCTCTGTTTACTTTGGCAACTTACTAGTAGACATATTTATCTCTGAACAAGATGATGTAGTAAAAACTATTCATTCAGCTTAGAAATAAGTACTATAATGATCAAGTGGATAGCACATTAAAAATTTAGCTCCTCTCAAAATTGTAGATCACATTTTTTATGAATACTATTTGGTCTAGGAAAATAAAATCTTAAAAATGTAATTAGAAAAAGTTCATACAAGGAATATAATTGAGGATAGAATTTGGTTGACCTCAGGAGAGAACAAAAGCTCAAAAGAAATTTTGTAAGTTTTTAACATTGGCAAGATGACTACAATATCTCTGATAATTAGATTTTCAACACATTTGGATTTGCTAATTGTATCTGTTATAATTAGACATTTTGTGTAACAAAGAATGATATAGCATTGTATGAGTTTAATGTGCTTTTACAGTTGAAATCAACAAATCAGCAGCATTTTCCAAATTATTTTAATAAGAAAAATGCTTACTTTTTTTTATATTGTGAGATCCCCTTCTCTTAAGATATACAGGTTTGGTAAAAGTAGGTTTATAGTTGTGAATATGTAAAACACAGAGTTTATTCTTGCATTATTATTTATAATATTAACTAGAAGTCTGGTGCACAGATTCATGCACCAGTGGGGTCCCTCAGCCTGGCCTGCACCGTTTTGCAATCTTGAACTCCTTGGGGATGTCGGATAGCTGGTTTAAGCCCAATCCCTGCAGGCCTGATTCAGACAGGAGGGAGCCCAATCCTGTGCATTGAATGTCTGTCCCCTCGTGGTCAGTGCACATCATAACCTGCCAACTCATTGTTTGGCAGCTTAGGCTTTTATATAGATATATGATTGTATTATTTCTCACACAAACAACTGTAAATCCAATTTTGCCCCACCCTGTATTATATATACACTTTAGTTTTCTTAATTAAACTCTTTTTAATTAGCTCAAAGAGAAACTAGATTTTTAATAGAAAGCACCTAAAGCATTTATTTGTGAGGAATAGTTGCCAGTGTATTGCTGACTTTGAAAACCACAAACAAAATGCAATACAAGGAAATAAATCACAGTCTTTACAAGGAAGCAGCACAAATCACTACATGCCCCTATAAACCATTCAGTTAATCCAAACAGTCTCTGCATATGACTAAAGGTTGGTCACATTTTTAAAGCATCCAAATGTGAAAGCTCATGGAGCTGGCATCAGGATTAATGGCATGACATTTCTTCCCAAGATATACATTACAAAGTTCTCTTTGCAGCTTTGCTTCTTGAGCAGTTATCTGCTCATTCATGTCACCACATCTCTCTTTTCTTCTTATTTCTGAATTGAGAGTCATCCATTTTTATCCTGTTGTGATTTATAGGTAGTAATTTTAAAGCTGGTAGTCCTCAGATTTTGATATTATAAGAGATAAAAACTACATGAAGATGTAAAATTAAACTAGTATTTTGAAGAGTAAAGAGCAGTGAATCATGACAAGACTAAGGGAAAGGCTGCTGCCAAAATTGCCCAAGTAAATTGATAGCACTGACAAAAAAGGCAAATTACATTGTTTTATGCACTGTGAGTATTTGAAATCGACAAAACAATATACATGACTTTTCCTCAAATAAAAGCAGTAATAATTTTAGCCACATTAAAAAATATTCTTGTTTTCCCCCCAATAAAAGCAGTGTAAGATGTAATTGAAACCACTGAAATTACTTTTTTTAAAAATCTAATGTGCTATAATTGATCTATTAGAACTGACATGCTAGAATTGTATGCACTATTATTTTTCCAATTAGTATATTGCTAAGATTGTTCTTGGTGTGTTTATAACTTCTCATGAAGCCAGATATCTTCAACAAGCCTCCTGTAGCATGTCTGGTCTGGTCATATGCCATGTGATGATATTTAAACACAGGAAATTTTTGATTGCTCATTTGCTAGTAAAAAAGAAAACCTGCAAAGGACCCTTCCTGTATCAGTTATTCTAAGATCTATTACCAAGTTCTCTGGAGAGTCTATACATAGGAGATGTGATTGTTCTTCAGGCAGAAAAGTGACCAAGCTATTTGATCTTTCAGCTTGGGTGCTGGAATCCTGTCACAGGGCTGAATGGGTCACTGACTGACAAGAAACTGGAGAATAACATGCGCGGAGTGGTCCTCCGTGTGGTGACCGTGCTGGTAAGTCTGACCTGCACCTTGTGGTTTTGGTTTCTAGAGGTTAATTAATTCTTCGTTTCTTTGTGATTTATTAACTGATGTCAGAATCTTAAAAGAGCTGCAGCAAATACTGGCTCTGCTCTTTCTAAAATATTTCAATGGTTATGTTTTCTAGCCTTCAATTTATGTGGATCAGAATTGGATTTTTGCAGGCTCTTCTTTTAATTGCACTATTTTTTGTCAGCAACGTTCATAAACATGCTAGGCTTGAATTCCCTCCTTCTACAGTTTCTTACACATGATAAAGAGACAGTGTCCCTCAGGCATTCTCTCACTGAAACCTTATAGTAGGCAGAAATGTAGGTAATTGTGCTGAAGGTTGATTTGATCAAAGTTGTGCATTCAGTAATACTTAAACTTTAGCAATAGACTAAGTCAACACTTTTCCAGTAAGGACCTACTTCAAAGGAAAGGCCTTCCAATGGTTTAATAAGTATGTATTGATTATCAACTGTATTCAAGCTCAGTGCTAATTACTGGGTAAACTAATGAATGAAATAAATATTATTTTGTCTTTTAACTCTTATCCAGTGATTCTGTGAATATTAAATGGGTTATACTTATGAAACCTGTACTGTAATTCCATTTAACTGTTAGAAAAACCAATAAATAATAAATAATATTAATTTATGAATTATTTTCTCCCAGAATAACCATAAAATAAGGTAGTAACAGAATTATTCTTCAACAGTAAAATTCTCAAATAGGCACTTGTGTAAATGCCGTAAAGCATGAAGGCATGTGCTCTCCCTGGTTATTTCAATGAGGTTGGCCTTGTGCTACTTTAGGGTACAATTTGAAACCTAACAGTCCATAGTTCTTAACTTTTTTTCCTTCAGGAAACCCTCCTTGTTTTTTAATGATATGTGGAAAAGTATTCCTTATAGACTAAAACAATTGCAGAATTAATAAACAGGAGAAGCAAACTGTCTTTTTTATATGTTGATGCTAATTGGATATTTATCGGAGTTTTTAACAGCATTGGCTGCCCTTTGTACATTGGTTAGTACAAATTTCATGGTATAAAATAAATTCTGTGATATTCTTTATAAAAGAATATAAATGTGTAGTTTACCACCTCCCTTATTGAAGGCTATAACTTATTATTGGTTGTTGTTTTAATATGATTTTCACTTTTTGGCAAATAATTAAACTATGAACAAACAAGATCAAAATTTAAATGTGAAAGTGCTGCTATATGTACCCGAGGGTATAGATATGCATTTGCATTGATGTGTTAATATTGGGGAAAAAACACACAGAAATTCAAAGTGCAGTAAACTATTAACATCGCTTCTCTAGTGATAATAAGCAAATCCAAGTGACAACTGAAATAAAAGACAATATATATGCTTTACTTTTGTCTTTGGGATTCATATTTTTAGGCAAGTTAACCTTGTTTAGTTATTAAGCAAATGTTTAGTATTTACCGTATAATAGACTTGGTAATCAATAATACTATGGTAGTATCCATCCTATAAGTATACTAGAGGCCAGGTGCATGAAAATTTGTGCACTTGTGGGTGGGAACCCCTCAATCAGGCATGCCCACTCTCACAGTGTTGCAGCCCTCAGGGGATGTCCTGAGGAGCAGCCCTAAGCCACAGTCTGGCCTCCCTCTGCAGGAGGCAACCAGGCAGATCAGGGAATGGGCCACCCACATCATCCCTCTGCTGCTGCCACTGTTGGCCACCATGGCTGCTGGCCCTTCTCAGCCCTCGCAGCCACTGCAGCTTTGTCTGGAAGATGTCCGGTCTATTTGGTCTAATTAACATATTATCCTTTTATTAGTATAGATTCATATCTCAAGGTAGGTATATAATCTGCTTGGGGAGAGACACATATAACAATAAAGGTAAGTTGTATTAAATGTTTACTACGTGATACATATTCTACTAATTCGTTTGTACGTAAAAACTTATTCAGTTCTCAAAGTATTTCGAATAAATAGTTAGTATTCTGATCTCAAGAATGTGGTAGAGGAAAATGAGACTTGCAGAGGTTGAAAAAAAAATGTGGAAAATTACAGGGAGAGCAAGTAGCAAAGAGTTGGGATTCAAATCCAGGAAGTCTGACTTCTGATCTCATAACCTCCTCTTAACATCATATTGTAATCTCTGTACTCCTATTGTGATAAGTGTGAGAATTGACATATTTATAGGATTTTACTTGACTTCTGAGTTGGAAATACTTAACTCTGAATAAGATGAAAGTGGGTTATATTGGGAAAGCCAATTATTTTAAATTCCTTTCCAGGCTGAACAAAACCATTGCTTTTTTACACAAGAAATGGTATTGCTTCATACAGTGTTAATGCCTCTACTCTATGCCCCAGACTCACCTTTATGATTCATAATGCTCTCTGTTTCCTGCAAGCTCAGCCATGCACAGATCCAGAATACAGTTTGTAGATGAAATTATAGAAACAATCTGTTTCCTCCAAGTCCTCTGTGAAGCAATATAGATTTATCAATTAGGTGCCCAACTGAGTAAAAGGTTGTTACACTTATTACAGTCCCACAGCATACAGCCACTGTACTTAGTAATTTTTCAGGCTACCTGGTTCTTCCTGTAATTCCTACTTGAATGGAAACTAGCCATGACCTTCTTAATTATTCCTATAAGCACCTTTCAGGTCTAGCTCTTAGTTACATGGTCTTGTAAGCTTCTTCCACCCAACACTAAGGATCACTCAACCCACCCAGCAACTCCAAAGTGCCCACTAAATTTGGAAACTCCGATCTGTTCTATATTTGGCTTGATTTGGCCACTCAAACAGTGCCCCCATGGATTTCAATGCTTGAAAAGGGAGAAATAGATGGGAAGGACCACATGTAGCCTTTATTTAGTTCTGGCTGCAGTCAAGTCCCAATTCTAAACACACACACACACACACACACACACACACACACACACAATCAATTTTCTTTAAGATTTACAACTCCTAATGATATCACTGTTAATGATATTTCATTGACTTGAAGAAAATAATATAATATTTATCTTAAACTAAATAATCCAGCACTTACTGTTTATGATCCCAGGAGCAAATAGATGGTACACTCAAAGGGTTGATTGACAATAGTTGAGTAAAGGAATTATTAACAGAGAACGTAAATACGGTAAAAAAAAAAAAAAAAATCAGCAAGGGATGTTGAAGTGCCAGGGCCCAGATACACAGCAAGCCTTGACAAACCTGGTGTCTGATGGGGCATCCGGAGGGAGCAATAGTAACATACCTGGCAGTTGCTAGACCATAGGAAGTTGCTAGACCATAGGAAATAGACACAACATTGTAGCTGGGACCTTTGGTACAGAAAGAGGGTAGAGAAAGATAATGCCAAAACCACAATCAGGGAAAATGGGGGAGGGATTATTCCAATGTCACTCCTCCTTGTCTTTTCATCTCCTTTCATTGTCTCTAGCTACAAATCCAACTGTAAATCCAAGGGCAAGAGGGTCCAAGTAATGAAGTCCATGAAGGTCAGCCTCCCAGGTCACAGAGTAGGAGAGTAAAGGACACACTCGGTCTGGAGGGAAAAACAGAGAAACCAAAACCAGCATCTAGTATTCGACCTGACCTGTTAAGAATTTTACAAGTGCTAACTAATTTAATCCTTACACAAAATAAATAAGAGGGAGACAAATTACATGAGAAGGGTGAAAATGCGTACAAAAGAATAAACTAACTTTCCATGTCCATATAACTAACAAGAGCCAGAGATAAATTGCAAGTGCAGAGATCCTAGTTCTAGAGACTATGTCCCTATAGCTACTGGGATATTCTGCCTTTGAAATCAGAATGAATTTGTATTAGGCTTACATTAAATATGATATAACTATTGAGACTGCAAATGTTATTGGATTGGTAATTTAGGAAGATTTTTCTAAATGGCATCTGTCACATAAGAATAACTTTGTAATCAACCATCACCAAAGCCACAGAAATGTCTTAGAAATGGAGGACAAGCAAGAAAAAGAATAAAATCAGACCCTACAAATGTGGTCCCACTGTTAAATTACTTGTTTCCATATTTGGCCTACTGATCTCTACTTGTTTATTGACAAGTGGATTAAATATATTACTACAAGGGAATTTTTAAGGTTATTTTTTTTCCTTTTAACTTTCTAAGTGGACATGTATGGATAGTCATAAAGGATGAATTATGTCACTTAATTGTTTTTCATGGCAATTCACAAGGCATTAATGGAAACATCACTGAATTATAAACATCTTCCTAATAATTGAATACTTACAAAATGGAAAGAAGTTGGCAAAAAAAGAGAAAACAGAGGCAGGCTTGAGAAGCTATACTTTAAGAAGTAAAAGATATCTGAAAAACATAAGCTGGCATTTAGAGAGCTCAGTAATTAGTAATCCCTGTTTGTTTCATTGGGTTTTGCTTCAAACAGATACATGGCATTTCTAATAAAGCATGAATTCACTCACAAATTCACATAAGAAATATTTATTGTATCTCCTTGTAGGTTCTTGGGGTACATACAAAATAGACAAAGATCTGATTTTTGGGAGTCCATTCCAGCAGGATATCTTTTAGAGTTTTCAGAATATTTTTGAAAACATATAAAGTCATTTTGTACATTAAATATACAGCACAGTATCCCTTTGCTTAAAAGTATCATAAAAGTAATTAATTTTATATAAATATATATATACCATGTTATTGGAAATTTACGGCAAAACTGTGGGGGTAATTGTTCTATATTTTATAAATTCAAAGCATACAGTTTTTCATATTTTAACATTCCTACAATCAGGATGCACCTTTCAGTTGATGTCTCCTGGCTATTATAATTGGCAGTATTTTGTTTGTTTGTTTTTTATTAGTGGTAGGTAAAATCATTGTGCATTTTATAATTGAAAACATTTTAGATTAAATAATGTATGGATGGTGTTTTCACAAAATTAATTAAGTTAATGGATATTCCTGGAAAGTTAA